CAGGTTTCACTTTCATTAAGTCCAAAAAGCATTTCCATAATTTTGTCGAATTTTAATATAATATCTTTGATAACTTTACCTCTGCGTGTTCTTTTAAATTACATACTCATTACGTAAAATTTCGTTCAGTACTTTTTGTACGACTAATGAAAACTTATAGACGTTGAACTCAAACAGTTATCATTTCTGCATTTTCTCACAATTCGGATGATTGTTAATCCGAGGTTTAATTCATCCCCTTTAGACATTTGGGTATTTTACGGCATACCGTCACCTTCTCGCACTGCACATCTTGGCACTGTAATTGAAATATTCATAATTGTTACTAGAAAGGTGATCAGTGTTACTATAAAGGTGACAATTTTTTAAAACATACTTCGAGTTAAATCGAAAAGCTGAAATTTTTACTAAAGTTTGATATTACAGTGATCTAGCATGTGTGCAATTTTTAGATTTTTATCTTGTCCCCTAACAGAGATATAATATTTGAAAATTTGGAAAAAATCCAAAATTCCATTCTTTAAAGAGAATGTAATTTTCAAATACTTCGTTATTTGCCAATGATATTCTACAAAAAGTAACTATACTGTTATGTGTAAAAGCACAGAAAAGGTTAAGGCTCTGATACTATTCCTTCTTTGAGAAATAACTCTCTAAAATTCGAATTTCGTTCATTCGAGTTCCATAGATTTGGTTGCAAATATTTCCCAAATAAAACATAGAATGTATGTAAATACTATTTCAATTTGTTGGCCAGAGTATACTGAATCCAATTGTTTTTATTCTAGAATGTTAGAACAACCCCGATCTGTTAACTTAGAAAAGAGTAAGTGCCTACAAACGCGAAAAATGATGCACGGTGCAAACCAAAAATGGCCGCCATTTGTAAACCAGGTATAATAAAAAACTAAAGATGCTTTTGAACAATCAAATCATAAGAAAATCTATGAACACAAATGAATTTTTTTCGAGACGGTCAAGCGATAGATTTATTCAATTGTGGGCCACTTAGAATGGACTGACCCTAGTAGCGAGGTCGAATTCAGCAGCTGCCCGGAGAAGAATTATATCGGGTGGCTGCTTTGACCGGTTCTTTCTCCGATCAACCCCAGTGCCTACCACAACATTCGGGCCACGGACCGAGCGCGATCCTTCCTTCTTCTTTCTTCTCTTACCTTAACCTCTTATTTGCACACACAGTTACCCTTCCATGCACTACAGCACCCCATAATCGAGAGACCATTCGGGAGCTTACAGCATGTCCCGGCTGGCGACCGGCTCCGCTGGTAGGAAATGCTTGAACAAGGAAACATCCGCAAGCAGGGCAACAATAAAGGCAGTCGTTCCCACGTCTAACTAAACTTTTTTATCGTGAATGAGAATTTGCCTTTGTATATTGTTTATTTGTTTAAAAGTAATATTTAAACATATAAATAAATAATTAATTTGTCTTTGGCAATATTGTACAAGTACACTACTTCGAGTATTGGCAGAAGAATAGTATAATACTTTGTATTATTTGTAATGTACTATTTACTTTCAACATTATTCATTGTATCAGAGCTGGCAGTTCTCTTGTATCATTAATTATTGTATTATTGATACCATGATTATCATAAGCATCTTGTATTACTATTGTATTACATTTACAATGTTTTAAAATTATTGCATTGTGACTTGCCACCGGGCACCAGATCACTTGCAAGGAAATAAAATTATTGTTGTTGTTGTTGTTGTTATTACATTGTGCCTCAGCGTGCAACTGCAACCAGCACGCGCGGCGCTGCCGCTTCAACATGGAGCTGTTCAAGCTGTCGGGGCGCGCGAGCGGCGGGGTCTGCCTCAAGTGCCGGCACTTCACCGCCGGCCGCCACTGCCACTACTGCAAGGAGGGCTACTACCGCGACCCCACCAAGCCCATCACGCACCACAAGGCCTGCAAACGTGAGTCGCGTCCACAGGGAGCTCTCTGCATTAACGGAGTGCCTCTGACCCTGCCTGAGTCCTAGGGTCCCACTCCCCTCGGTGGCATCATTTTCGACACTAGCTTGTCAACTCGGTCGAATTCAGTCGCGGTCTGGAGGTGAATTATAGCGGCCGGCTGCTCTGATTGGTAGTTTTCCGTGCTTACCCCGATCATCACCAGGTCAATGCCGGAGCAGTACCCAACAAACGGGCCACGGACCTCGCGCGATCTTTTCGTCCTCTTCCTTTCCTTAATCTCACTTCTTACACACACACTTACACTAACATGCACTACACTACAACATGCCGGGAGACCTGTCGGGAGCTTAGAGTTTGAGCCGGTGGGAGATACCTGGTTGAGGGAAACCCCGCTAGCCGACGGTAGATCGGGGCCGGATCTATCCAGCCAGCAGGGGAAGATTACCGCCACCTCTCGAGGAAAAAGCATGCACTACACTTACAGGACTAATGACCTCGATAGTTGACGCGCCCGGAATCACTTACAACCAACCAACTGCTTCACCTCCATCGGCACGCCCATTGCGGGCTTGCTTTCCAAAAAGTAGTCTCAAAAACGTAAACTTAAGGTGGATTGTTGTAGTGTAGACTTGTCTTTCATGGAAAAGAATGCTAATTCTCAGCAATTCTTAATGGAAAGACTGCATTTTTCCGTATATTAAATAGACAATAATAAACTTCGATAACTTAATCATGATAAGAAATACGATATCGCAACTAAAGTGAAGCAAATCTACACACTTACCAAAGTAATAATAATAATTGAGATGGAAACAGAAATGCGCGTTTCATGTAAAAACACGTTATTGGAAACGTCAGTTTTGGAAAGTTTGCCTGCAATGTTCTTCACCATTTATAGTTAATGAAGTAAATGAATTGTAGTCGACCTAACCCTGCCTTGAACATAAAATGTTCATAAAAATATTCCCCTCCTTTCTCCGTCTCTCCGTGTCTCTGCATATCTCTGTCGCTCTCTCCTACTGCTCCTGTTTCACCTTTTTACAATAGTGTTTGTAATAATTATACATTGAAGATATTTCAGTTACAATTAGAGAAGAGGTGTTACGTCTCCCCAAAAAAGATAGTTAACATATATTGTTAAAAAGTAAGAAAACGAAGTGGTTAATTGGAATGAATTAAATAAAATGTTGTTTTTCATATAAAAATATATAGTATAACCATTTTAGACCTGCTTTGATCAAAGTTATGAAATTTTTGTGTTGCCCAAAATTGTCGGTGTGTAAAAGAGATCCCAGGTGGTCGATCATGACAAAATTAAATTCTATAGCAATTTATCACCACTCTGAGTTTCGATTTTAATTACATATTACACTGAAATACATATTACAAGTTACATTATATTGTATATTGGGCCGCGCTATCAGGTATTCAAATTAAACGTCAAAATTGGCGCTCTAGCGCCCCTAGGGAAAGCCATGGCAAACTACCCTAGGTATACTTGCTCAGGATACGTCTCACAAGAAGGCGCTAGGGGCTTCTGGAGACTAACCTACGCACTAATCAGTGTATGACATTAAAAGGAGAACCGATTTGGTATAAATAAAACGTTCATTTTGTGCTGATTTTCATCCTTTCCGGCCTATTTCTGATTAACCGTGGAATTCGCTTAAACGCTCTTGTCACGACACTCAATACTGCGGATAATCGAGAATTTACCGACTCTATAATTCTGCAATGTAAATATTTTTAGATATTGTCTCTACTTAGCTAGCAACTTACTAGCGCATAGCACATATTTCCGTTCCAAGATGTCCTGGGTTTCGACTTCTGTACAAACAAGACAAATAATTCAAGTTGTTTTCCAGTTGACCAGATCGAAAGGCAATTAGGCTCTCGTGAAAGACTCGTATCCTACCATCAGTCACGTTTACGATTACTGTTGTCAGGCGAATACTTGAAAGGACAAAACAAACTCAAACAGTATGTTTTAACAAAGCATGGTACCCTGTTCATTGTGCAATCAAGAAATACGAAGTAGATTCCGTAAGTTTCTGGCCTCACTAAATTCAATTTATATGCAAAGAAAAAAATGCACCTTACCACCAATCATCCTTCACTCCAACCCACTTTTCATATCTGTATATTAACATTTCTAGGACTTTGAAAACAATACTCCAAAATTTTGTTAGTAAAATGGTAAAACATTGCCTCTTTTACCTCTCATTCATCTGAAAACTTTCATCCCCGAATATCTTTCTGCAGTATTGATAAGTGAGAGTTCATGCAAAAACAATGATGCCAATCGGGGAAAAATGAGTTAGCATTGTGGTAATTCTAATGCCAGCAGCATTTTCTGTCTTGATGTGAAGGAGCATAAGCAAATATATGAATAATAATTTTTCTTGTGAACATACGAGGTTCAGGCAATATCCAATACGTCAACATCATTGTCGCAATCAATAAAGAACATGTCCGTGTAACCAATATGATGCCAACACTAACAATCACGTTACTGATCATGCCTCATGGTTCATTCAATCTGTAAAGTCTTCACAACAGTGTCCCATTTTATTTATTAGAAGATTGGGATCGCAAGGTCACAAAAACTTTGAGTATTATGTGCAAGAACATTCCGATCATCAGAAATGTGAAGCAAATCATTATTCAGAAAACAATGAAAAAGAAGATTCATACAGTCAAAGTTGCCTCATTGCAATATTTTTGATTTGATGAATTTCCTGCTTTGTCCCTTTGCGAATGTAATTTTTCGTTAACAAATATAGTACAATTTAGCCATCAGCAGATGTCACTTGAAAGGGGTATTCTATTAACTATTGGCAAAGGGATCTATGGTTACAGGTCTATTTACTGAACTTTTAGGAGATAAAAGGAGAGAATTCTTCAGGTACTCCTGGCCTGGAATAGTATTCCCTTGTTTTTGATGGAACAATAACTGAAAATCAAACTGTAAGAGATGGAAAAGAACTGGAAGATAATTATAATTGTCCAGAACATGATCATGGCTGGCACACATATATTTTAATTTCTTTTTAATCCTTTGTAATTTTTTACAGACCAAAAAATGGTTACATTAACTTCAGAAATTGTTGTAGTAGTTTTGTCTCTTTGGTAACATAAAATATTTGCATACAAACTGCATTGAAGTAGTTTACTCCAATCAAACGTGATGATAATAGTAACTCTATTTTATACAAAAGCAACAAGTCCTCAATCAAAACACTAATCAATCTATCAAACGAACCCACGACCTCCCAATCACTGGTAGGCCCGAGCCACAAAGCGTCGTCTTAAGGTTCATCGCTCCCGGTGTTGTTGGTTCGTTTTGATGGGAGTGCTGCAGGCACACAGGCAGATTTTTCCGCTATTGGTTGCAAGCACTTTACCATTGTTATCAATCAACCGGACACACAACTGTCTTTGGATTGCTGTTTAGGTTTGAAGTTCTTATATGTCTTGTGTGCTGACGCTCAGCAATGAACGTGCCGATGAACGTGAACTGGCGCTCTCGTGGTTGCAGCATGCGACTGCCACCCGATCGGCGCGTCGGGGCGCACGTGCAACCAGACGAGCGGCCAGTGCCCGTGCAAGGACGGCGTGGCGGGCGCCACCTGCGACCGCTGCGCCAAGGGCTTCCAGCAGAGCCGCTCGCACATCGCGCCCTGCGTCCGTGCGTACTCCTCGTCGGCCCCTCTTCGGCGCGGCATTTGGGGCTACACAGTAGCTCCATCCTTGACCCACAGCAGTGCTCAAAAAAACCGCATCATCTTGCGCACAGTAGTAATCTGCAATGTAAACCTGAAAATACACCACTTGGTTTGCACAAATCGAGCGAGTTATGAACGTAATGGGATCGCAAATGTCATATAATCCACACAAAATATATTATTAGTGATTACCAAGTTTTGAGAGCATATTGGATTTGGAAAATACAGAATGCCCATTTTCTTGAGGTAATGCGGTTTCTTTGAGCACTACTGTATGTGTTTGAATAACTCAGAGAAAGTATTATTATTATTATTATTATTATTATTATTATTATTATTATTATTATTATTATGGTACACGTATGCCATATGTCAGAATGTAATAATAATAATAATAATAACAACAATAATATAGCATTTTGAGGAAGGACATATTGTCAATATATGTAAAAAATATTGCGCCTATTTTTTCTCCTAAAATACTTTAACTAATTTTAAAATAACATTATTTTAATATTTACCACAATTTACAAATAATTTAATTAATAATAGCAGTAATACTAATTTCATTGATTATAAAGATTTACACATTTGTAACTAATTGTACGTTTAAACACAAAGTGTTAATGGATTTCGGTGTTTTCACTTGCTCCTAATGTTTCACATTTTGTAGAATTTACATAATTCCATACTTCATCAAGCACACCTATAATAAACAAAAGTAAAAAGTATGTACATTTATCCAAAAATAGAAGTCTTATGAATTACAACATTTCGAAATAATTCTAGTAATGGAGAGGTAAAAGGTGCAAGTCTAAGTTAAGACACTCTTAAGGTTTGTAAACATCCTTTCCATTACTACAGGGCATCAATCATATAAATAAGAAAGTCTGTCGACGTTCTGGGAACATAGGACGAAGTTATTTAGAGCTTTCAAATCTATTTAAATAATTTTCTTTCAAGTTTAGACTATTTATTCAGGACGCCCATTTCTTCTTATTTCCGATTAAACAAATTGAGTTTAAACTCGATGCTATATTTTGATATGTCTCTCCTATATCTCTAATCTAACATATATATTATAGTAACGTATATATTTTTAAAATCTATTAATGATATTATAAATTCGAGTGATTTTGTTCTTGATGTGTTGACGCAAGTTACATTAAATGAAATTCTCTAGAATATTTAATACTTTTGTTTGTATTTGTATGAAAATATGATTTTGAATTTGTAGGTCAATGACATATGTATTGGCGCTTGTGATCTTCGTCACAAGCATTTTATGCCTGAGTTCTGAAAGGAAGATACTTGTTGGGAGCCAGCTGATCGGAACCCACAGCTAGGACAATATCGGCCGTTATTATTGTTTCAAGTCGGCTTTAATATTATTTACCACCTCAGTAATATGTTTTTTAAATAATGTAAATAGGTTTCTTAATATATTTTTAACAGTTAACACATTATATTATAACTTAAAACTCAAATCAATAATTTTATTGTAGTATCTATAAATTAATTTCGTGTAAATCACAATTACCTTCGTGAATCCTCGCTCGCTCTCTTCCAGGGATACCCAAGATGCCGAACGTGATGATGGCGATGGCTGGCGTGGGACGCACCGGACAGGATGGTGAGTGCATCGACGCTCGGAAAAGCCTCGATTTGAAGCGCAGCTGAAACGGCGTGGCCCCACACTAATCAATGTCACGCTCTGATTTTTTTTAAAATCAACTAATTCTTTATTTTTTGTCTCATATGTCGACTTGGTAAGTAGACGATGGCAATGTTTACTTATTAATCGATTCTTTTATGCATTTGAATAACATGGAAAATACTTATATATTAAGATGAGCGTGGCAATATGTTGACAATTTATTGTGATGAGTATCAATTACAAAAATTTGTGAAAAAATTGTTGCTGTGATTATTTTTGATTTTTATTTATTAGCTTTAATTTTACAGATTTTCCGTATTCGTTTTATCTGAAAAAATTCCCGAAAAATGTGCTTTGGGTTATTATTGAATTAATTACTTATATTTTACCTTATTTTGTTATAATATTCATATATAATATATTAAATATACATATGCGATAATGCCCGTTTCTTAGAAGTGCTGGATTACGCGGACTATACACGCGGCCTTTTGTACTGTGTCTATGAATATAACATAAACGGACGTAGAAACATAGAGGTTTCCAAGTAGTTCGCAGTTCGCCGCTCCCTGTGGAGTATTTTATTAAGAGATGTATCTATGATACTCTTCACTAATAATTTCTGGAATATTCTGCCTTATGAGATAATTTTTTTTAAAAAAAATTTAAACTCTATAAAGATATTATAAACTGTTACAGAAGAATGCCGAACTCAGTGTTTGCATTTTAATTGGCCAAAAAGTATTAGCCAATTGTTTTGCATTTCATTCGAAAAAATTAATATTTTACCAAATATCTTCCGAAGACGAAACTCGTGGATATATTTTCTCGCATCATTACACTATTTTTTTAGATTAGCATTTGTATAATAAACTTGCTGGACACGTGTAAAAACTACGCACGTTATAAGTAATTCTTTTAAAACTGGAAATAGCTTCAATGGCTTAGAGCCGACTTCGGAAGGCCAGACCCTGAACTGCACGTAACAGCTTTATAGGCCCGGTAGTGTGAAAGAGAAACCATTATGAAAATGCTAAGCGTTGAAATTATATGGTACAGAAAATCAAAAAGTTCCTTTAATTTGAAAGTTTCATGAAATATTATTTCTTGTTTGTTTGTTTTTTTCCTCCAATTTAAATTTAATAGATTCCGGGTTTCTGTACTTTTTTGGCCACTCATACTATGGAATGGGGTCCTCCAAAAGAATTATATCTAAAAAAATATAAGTTGAAAGTTCAAATCCATTTTGTGGAATACTTCTTAAGAAACATAATTCGGATCCTTGTCTCCATCTGTTCTCGCCTGTACTATCCTTCCCCCTTTATTTCCCCACTTTCCCCCATTTTCCTCCTGTCCCCAACTGTTCCTCGTCATTTTCCTTAACCCTACCTTCCCCTCTGCCCGTCTTCAAAACACCCGTGTTCCTTAAGGAAAACTCCCGTTTAATGGCATAGGAGTCAGGAGTTTCGAAGTGTCTACCATAAATCGTTTCTGCAAAACTGTGCCGTAATACGTATCTGTTCTGCGGGTTGCCGATGCGGATGATGCAGGCGTCGGAAAGTGGATTGCATAGTACTACCACAGCCCGCTAGTATGCCTCGGCGCTTCAGCCTGCTTCTTGCAAGAGCTAAAAGTTCCGCTACTTACCGCTGACACGCTGCTCGCTGACCAGTCCTCGCTCTTCTACTAGATGCAAATATACGGAGATCCGCATTACAGGCATATACTTTTTCGACTCAGGGGCTTTGAATTAAAGTACTTAGGCCTCTCCATTACTTCATGAGTAAAAGTAGCAATGTTCTTCACAATTACTGGTACAAAATGTTCACAAATGATATCAATGATCGCTATTGCGTGTACTGCGCTCTCGTCATACGCAAGGGAACTGCTTTGCAAAGCTGGCTTAATATATTTTGAAGATTTATTTTCACACCAATTCTTGGAAATTGTGCACAGCTTTCACAATAAATTGCGCTACCACCGATTACCTTCCGGGTTATTTAAAGATGATATTGAATTATTTCCCACATCAAGAATCATAATTATCTTCCCAATAAATATTAACATATGTTCTTAATGTTTCTCAACGTTAAAAAAATATATAAGCCTTACCTAGGCTACCTAACAATTCAGTTTATTCTCTAAATTCGATCCAAAAAGATCACTCACAATTAGCACAAACAACTTCTGTTAACGTTCAATGAGAACACGCAGTATCAAGTACCAAGTACTACGAATGATCGTCTGATACAGCTTTGGATGTTTCTCGTATTGTAACACTGCAATTAAAAGTGTTATATTTCCTCACAAATGTCATTGGAAATCACGAGATGTCGTCTAACTGTTGATTTTTATTTCTGATATCGGATATATTGCTCTATCATTTTTTGTGGAATTTGGAAGCGGCCTACGCAAAGGATAAGAAATAATTTCTACATTGCACATCAGTTGATCTTATTGAAAATCTCTTTTCGTGTACGTCCGCAAGAGCGAAAATGTGAATTTCGCTAGATGTATGTAACTTTCTGGTTCTATCTCCAGGTGAGTTTTTGCCGTGGAAATAGTGATTTGGAGTGATCTTTGATTAGTGAACTTTCCTGGGTGTTATTTATATCAGAGTCCGTTGTCCGTTTCAGAATTAATTTCTTTAATTTATGTAGTGATTTTCTTTCTTCTACCATAAACACTTCTGTATTGAATTTGTTATTTTTAAGCGTGTAATATAGTTTAAAGAATCAAAAGAGTTAGAAAATATAAAAATAGATGGTATAAAAACTTACAAAGTAATACTTTGCTATTTTTTATGTTTTCATGTCTTTAAAACGTTTAAAGGCATTATATGCATTATAATTCTCTATAAACACCTCAAAATGCAGTAAATATCAGAAATACGTAAGAAGAAATATTGTATTTTATACGTCAAAAAGAATTATTGCTGGAATGGTCGGCGATCAGCGCTCCAACGGCCACAATGTAAAACTTCGTTTGCTAGCTCCCATAAGGACCAGGAAAGTGTCGCGGCTATTAGGCATACTATGGTACTATAGTACCGACAGCGTATAAGCGGTGACAGGTCGGTGTTGCTACACACTACTTCGCACCTCCTACAAGAGAGGTCAATTATGTCTCAAAACATAATAATACTTACACGTCTTGATATCATGTTTATAACGTTCGCCTCAGCCGAACCTACCGCCTCCGCGACTTGGCCACAAGAGCTGAACCTCTGGCTGCGAAGCTCATTGCATCAGCGCAGGTCATATGACGTGCAACAGCACGTGACGAGAGAACTGTCAGTCGCTTATAAGCTGCCGATACTGTAATGTTCGATGTTCAGTACGAAGTGTACGATCTGGAAGTATTATTTAAATAATTACAATAAAAATAATTATAACAACAATTGATTCGAATGAAGTCGTCATAATTTGCGTTGTTTTTTTTATTTTCTATAAAATGATGAAATACTTGTGCAGATGTAGGATATTTCGTGATATATTTTTTAAACCAGGCAGAAGAAACGCACCAAGACCTACAATGGTTTTCACTAAGGTGAATATTTATTTCAAATATTTCTTCCCCGATGTAAGCTAGATTGTATTATATTTGCACAAAAATATATCTTTTCATTTCTAGCATGCTTCTTCTGAATTTTATCAAGAATGGTTTATGCAGTGAATGAATTATTGTATATTTTTATTGCATATTAAAGTGCAACTTTCAGAATTTTTAGATCATAAATGCGAATGTCTAATAACATATTTCAAGATTTTTTAGGGCATAAAAATCCTGTCCCTAATTATGTTGTTGTAATTGAAATCTTTCATATTCCAAATGCTCTCTCCCTGTTGTGTTTTCAGACGAGTGCGGGAAGTGCAGTATCAACACTAGGCGTCTCAACCTCTTGAAGTACTGTCGGCGCGATTACGGTGAGTAACATGTTTTTTACAATTTTCCACCAAAGTCGTCCACAAGTTTGTGTTCTCCCTACAGAGAATAAATCTCATCTTACAATATAGATCGTAAAATACAATATTAAATGTGATAAATTCTTCGTCGCCAATTGATATCGGGGGGTGTCGCTTGGCAAGCGTGTCTCGACCTGATTCATGAAACAATAAAAATCTTCGTTAATTAGTCGCTGAGGTAACGAGCTGCTTGGTGAACGACTGCGGTACAACTCAGGATTGTTTTCGACTACTGCGGTTCTGTTTCTATTAAAGTTTATCGGCACTTGTTATCCCGCACGCAGACAAGCGCACAATATTATCATCGCTTTGGAAGAAAAATATATGTCAATATATTAATAAAAAAGTGTTGTAGATTTGATTTGAACTAAAATGTTTCTTTTTCTCCCCGGTTTACCCGCGTCTGCCCAACCTAACCGCTACCCGCTTAGATATAAACGTCATTGAATAAACCAAATCGCGACAGAGGGCTCGTTCACTGTGCCTGCGGGTTGAAGCAGTCTGACTACTAAGGCCCCATTGCTCTTTAGACGAAAAAAAGTAAACAAACATTGTGCATTGGTATCTTAATATGTTAGTCACTAGTTAATCTTAATTAAGAGAAATATCACTTATTCATGTCAGGCAAGCGTGTGGGCGAGAGCGTGGGCGAGGGCGTGGGTGAGGGCGAGGGCGTAGGCGAGGGTGAAGGTGTGGGCGTGGGCGAGGGGGTAGCCGGGGGCATGGGCGAGGGCGTGGGCGAAGGCAAGGGCGTGGGCGTGGGCGAGGGCGTGGACGATGGAATGGGGGAGGGTATGTGCGAGGATGAGGGCGAGGGCGAATGCGATGGCATGGGCTAGAGCGAGGGTGAGAGATGGGGCGAAGGCGTGGGCAAGGGCGAAGGAGGGGCCGGGGCGGGGAGAAGTGGAGTTTATTGGAGATTATTTTACAAACACGCAAAGCATAAGGATAAACGAAATGCGTGTGGAATGCGCGAATTTAATGAAGTACGAAGTGTACTAGAAATACTATAGTTCGAACATGTTGTCTGTTCTTGTACGAGTATAACAGACGACATTAGGACCATGGTTATAGTTACACGAAGGCAGTGAATCAGCATTGGGAAGGGGAGTGAATCAGAATCAAATGGAATTACTAGCATATCCATAGATAATTTCAAATACAGAAATACCACCATCGTGCTAATATATCATGGGAACACTAATTTATCAGCATACACTGCCGCCTCCACAATTGGAACAAATTCCACGTGGCGTGATCACCAGACGGATGTGGTGTGCGACTCCATCCACGTGATTAGAGTGGTTAGTTCCACCAGGGAGGTCCACGCTGTGCGCAAAGTCTATCTGTGTGCGCCGTGGCGTGCGCAGCGCTGCTGGCGCGTGT